TAAAAAGGCAAATTTTGCCGCAGACCAAAAGCGCCAAAAAAACAAAAATTCTAGCGAGAGCCAAGTATAAAATAGTAATCCGCTTAGTTGGCCAGCAAAATGTCTCGTGTCGAGCTGCTCGCTGCCAGCTGGCAAAACTTAATTTGCTGCAGCGCGACCGTTGTGGTAATTACCACATAAATTCAGCAGCAAATTGCTTCTTTAAAAAAAGTTTGCCACAGCCTCAAGCTGTGGGGGGTATGTCGTATTTGCACTCAGCGCAAAAAGGATCTAAGGACGTAGAGAAATTGGATTTGTTAGGCATATTATATATGCACATTTATAAAATCAGTGACTAAATGTATGCAAAACTACTTTATTAAACCGGATATTCGAAGGAGCACATTGCTCATGGGGAAAGTTTAGATATTATCAAATAAAGCACAAAACTGGTTCTTAAATATTCTTCCCTGTGCATTGACACAGTGCTGACTAAGAGCAGCAAAAAGCATATTTGGCGTAAAGGTCAAACATTAAAGAGATTTCTGGCTTGGCTCCTTGCAGCGCATTCTGTCCCTAATTCAGCTTTTGGCCCAGTCGCCTCCTCCTCCGCCTCCGTCGCCTCCCCCTCCGTATCCGCTTCTGTCTGCGGTCACTGGCGCTGTTAATCCCGGCAAGTTAATCCTGCCAACTGGCCGACATACCAACATACCGACATACGACCAAGTCGGGACAGACCGAGCTGACCGAATTATCATCGCTGCTGTGGAGTTGGCAAAAACATGAGCAGAGCTGCCGCAGGCTTAGGAAACCCGATAGGGGGAGTTGCGGTTGAAAAATAATAGGTTTATGCTCAGCGAGACGGCGGAGGGGAGGTGATTGATATGCCCGACATGTCGCCGCATGATCTCTGTTCCTGCAACTCGGTTTACACTCGGCCCTCAGTCCACCGCCCACAACTCCCGCCCCTGAACTCCGCCCTCTTGACCAGAATCGAATTCATGGCCCAAAGTGCTTAATGTTTGATGTCTGCCACTCTGCGTGTGTCAGGGTTTGCATGTGTGTGGTCGGTCTAACACTTTCATTTGCATCCAAAAGGACTTGGAACCAAAGTTCCAGGCACTTTTACATTGAGAAAGTAAGGGCAACTGTGCGTATGCGTGATATCGTTACACAGAAGAATAATCATACGCACTGTGGTACAGTAAGCTTAATATGATTGTAGATTATATATCTTTTATACAGTTTACAAAAAATAGATAACATTTAATCACTGCAGCAGCACAAACTCTGTCCCAAATGGCTAGGCACTCAACTTAAGTCGCACACGCTCCCAGCTGCAGATCATTTACATATCTTCTTATCTGACCATTTCTAATGCCCTTTGTCTGCGTCATGACCACTCAAAGGACTTGAAAATAAGGAGGAGGCGGGCACAAGCGAGTCACAAGAAGAGCCCTGCTCAATGGCCCTAGAAATGTGCAAAGAGCAAAGCGCTTGACTATTTTTTTAAAGTTTTTTGTTTGTTTATTTTTGCTTCTTTTAATGCGGCACTTTAGTTGATAAGTCAACCATTTCAGATGAGCGAAAGGGAGACAAAAGTGGGTGTCCACCGCCGGACTGGACTCCAGCGCCACTCCGGTGACACCTGGCCGGATGCCAACTAATGCCGGCCATGCCCCTCCAGCTGAAGCTGCTAAAGCTGCTGGAGCTACTCCACCTGCATTTGTAATTGCATTACAGACTTTAGCATTGGCGACGACCTTTAAGCCCACTCCCTCCGCCTTGCCTTTCGTTCCGTTCCGTTTCGTTTCGTTCAAAGCAAATCCCCTTTTGTGAGAGCGCCTGTGTGGCAACTTTAAGTGGCCCTTTGTGCTGCACGCAGTCTCCGCTGCTAAAGTTATCCGCGGCACTTCGCGGCAACAATGTGGACAGCCCAACGCGGCGTATACGCAACGTGGCTGATGGCACACCCTCGCAGATGGCAATTAAAATGTCAAGCCCTGCAACACTGTGGCGTCCTGAAGTGCCGGCAACTATTTCTGCATTCTCTGTGTTGCCGAATTCGAGGCACACTCCACAGCCAGGTGAATACTCCTAGCTATCTATATGGCCCTTTCCATGTCGTGTCTTTGGCCATCACTTCGTTTCTCAGCATGGTAATTGGTAAGCTAATACGCTTATTGTAATCGAAACGTGCCCATCCTCTAGTAAATTGCTTTTATAATTGAAATACTCGTATTACATATGGTCAGCAGCTACAGCTCAGCTCGGCGAAAGAAGGACTACACTGGGAAAAGTGGATAGGCTTATGTGCTAATGGATTTTGATTATAAGCAACATTATGCCATATTATTTATTACAAAAGTGGAGGAAATATTTTGAATGAACACATTAAAGGCAAAGTGTCCGATAAATTTCCAGTGCACAGCAAAATAGCTGAAGATAAATCGCTTGGCCGGCAGCAAATTCCTTACAGCCAAAGACGGCTTAGAAGACAAAGAAGAAGTTGCAGCCAGGGGAGCAGCCAAAGGATTAGTGGGGGGAGTGGGCGGAGGAGGCTACTGGAGAAGGACGCATAAATTCTAATTAAAATTTGTGTGCCAGGTGGTAAATAAAACTAATTATACATGCGCAATTTTCCCTGGTGCAAGTGCGAAAGTGAGAGGGTGAGAGGGTGAGACGGTGAGAGGCTGAGAGTGTGGAAAGCCTTTAAAATTGTCGTATGCCCGCTCTCGCTCGCTCCCAAAGGTGAACTCTGCGTTGGCAAATGGAAAAAGTTTTGCTGCAACTCAACTACGTCTGGCTGTGAAGTCTTTTTTTGGGTTTGAGTTTGGGCTAAAAGCAAAAATCCAACGAAATAAAATGGAAAGAAAAACGAACCGAGAAAGTTTTGCAAAAAACTTGGACGGGCGAGAGGAGGGGAGCTGGAAAAATTGAGGGGTGGCAAATCAATGATGCAGCTGCCATAAGACCCTCTAAGCTCAATTATTGCAGGATACAAAACAAGAGACAAAAGAGAAACAGCAGGAGAGACAAAGAGCCGTGGAAGTCCGGCCACTGTTGAAGGCTATATCCTTTGGCTTTTCCAGTTAAACGTGACTCGAACAATGGCATTCCTCGGCAAGAAATCAAAAATACCCGCACACACACAGCGCCCCAGATGGAGTTGGGTACGAGAAAACGTTTTATCTGGCCATCTAATGGATATATAAATGGTATTCAGGTCCATTGATCGATTTGCCCACAAAAGTAGGCAACGAAATTGTTCGGGCAAATTCAATTTTGCCAGCTTTTAAGAGCTGCGCATATCGATTTAAGCGAGTGGCATATAGCTCAAATTTATGCTGTGGATTTATTTACTTGCTTCCCATTTTATGCCGAATTTTGTGTGTAAGTCAAATTTAATTTACTGATGCCATGGTCCCGAAACTTTGATCAAAGCTGTGCCGAAAATTGCCTTTGTCACACACAAAAATACTCGTATATGTATGTGTAAAATCGAGGGGCTGCTAGGAGCAACGTACTAAAAATTGTCGAAAGCATTCGGGACTGTGGAAAAATATGGCAAAAGTTGCAAACGAACTTTTTGCCCATGTCTCGTACGCTACGGTTGGATCTATCTACATAGAGTACTATGTACTTCTGTTGCTCTGTTTTTCTGTTTTTTTTCAGCCCCGCTCCATGAAGGCGTTAAAGCGTGGGCAGACATTAAAGCCAAGTCTTTGCCATGAACGAGGCGATAAATGTCGATTACAGTTCTGGCCAATAAACAAGGGAACTTCCACTAAATTCCCGATGTGCTGCACAACATAGGGCCATTAAATGCATGGCGAATACAGTACCAAGTAGGCGAGCCAAAGTTTCATTGCTGACAAATTGAAGGCAGTTTGCTAATGTCGTGGGAAATGCGATGCGACAGCCAAACAACCGAACAGGATCGGCCGAAATAAATCTAAGCTGCGACTCCTGGGTTTCTGTGCTCTGTGCCCTGTGTTCTGTGTCCGTAACGAGCCAAAGTGGCCCAAATGCGGATTTATGCCCCGCTCAATGATAAATTGAATTTCACTCAAAATTAACTGTAAGCCAGGACGAGGAACGTGCTGCCAGCAGGGAAACACGCTGCCACATATGCGCCCTATAAAATGTGACAAGAAAACTAACGAAGGACTCGGCGCTCATGTGGCTATGGCTAAAACAACACACAACCGCAGTCTTTGCTCCACTCCACTCCGAATGAAATTAGGCCAAAAACCCAGGCAGCCACTTGGCTTGACAATTGCCTAAGCATATTTGTCATTTGATTGATTTATTCCGCAGGGCCAACAACAGCTGCCATTGGGTTGGCCAAGATTGTCTCTTATTTGTTTGTTTTGCCCTCGCCCCTCGCGACCTGCCCTTCTGCTAAGGCGCTTTTCTCGAATCAAATCTCCATCGCTTTCATTAGGCGCCAGATTTCCATATTTTATCACGCTCGCTTGTTGGCCTTCCTAGATCTCGAGTAAAAACGATTTTTGCACATTCTATGAAGGGTATTGGGGGGGGTTCTATCATAACACCCTCAAAGACCTATGCTTTCTAAGAATAAGCGCAATATAAAAATTGGTAGCAACTGACAACACCAACTACTAATTCACTAATCACAAACAAATGCATTGCTTCGATTCAGACAGATTTGAATGTTTCTTATCATTATACAACTATTGGAATGAGCTTCCTTAAGATATAAGGAAGGAATTTGCATAATCTGCATTTAAAGATCCGATTCAGTAGCTACTATTTTGGTTTGCCCCCAGTGTGAGTTACATAAATGGAACACTTCTAACGGCATGCAAGGCGGGTTCATTAGGGTTTTCACAAAGGTCACAGTAGTGTTGCAGGTGGTGGGGTGGTTGGTAATTGGTGGTGGGTCTACATTTGGTGACTTTCAGGTGCTAGATTCTCGCATTTGGAGGCCATATAGTTGTACACGTGGATGTTGGGTAGTGGATAGTTCTGGGGTTGGGGTGGGTGGCACTCACCTGTTGAGTAGCGCGGCAAGGGCGCGTCGCCGGTGGCAAGGCAGCCGCCATAGGAGAAGTGGTGACTGCTGGATCCTGTGCCCGAGACCACGGCTATTTCATCCAGCTCATGGCCGGGCGAGGTGCCGGCGGATACCAGGCGGGTGGAGGAGGTCGCCGAGTTTCCCTGCGAGTTCTTGCGTCCACGTAGCGAGAGCACCAGCCTTTTGGCTGTGGACATACCAACGATTGTCGTCGCCTGGCCGCCGATCCTTCTGCTCCCAGCACCCAGTGTCCTCCGCTCTGACCACTCCTGCAATGGAAGGCGGAGAATGGCGAATGGTGAATGGTGAATGGCAAATGGTGACTCGTAAATGGCGAATGGAAATACGAAACTTTTTCAATATTCCCATGGCGCTTGGGCGCTTGGGCGCCTCGGCTCGCCGTGGCTGCCTTCGCTATTTATTTCGTTAATAATTTAGAACAGAGCTTCAAAAGATATGATAATTTGTGCACAGCGAGATGGAGGGATGTGCTTGGAAGAGTGCCTGGAATTTTCATTTTCATTTTCATGCTTTGCCAGCTCAAGACATCGACGCAGACGGAGGGCTTCTTAAATTATGCAAATGCTTGCAATCAAGGCTACAGAAATGCCACAGAACAACACACAAAAAAGCTGAGCTGCGAAAAAGAACATCGCACAAAATGATTGCGACATGGAAAATATGAATGAAGACATTAGCATATCAAGGGTATAGGGTAATGTCCGTACGATTAATGGCTTAAGCATGAAACTAAAATCCCTTGAAAGGAGCGTTTAGCATTGATTTAAACGCCAATCAATCTGTTCGATGGAAGATAATTTAATTAGTCTACTCAATTCCGTCTCAGGAATATTATGTTATAGCTGCAATACGAGTATACTGAAAGCAAAGCCTACGCTTATGTTCTGATATTCATTTGAGTCTTAGCTAATGAATCCTTTTGAATATGTCAGAGCAGTCGACTCACTTAAAGCATTGACATTGACAGTTTGGCGTATTATAGAATTCAAAAAGAGGCTGAAATAAGAAGGGGAAACCGAATGATAGACATGAACACAGGCGCACGCAAAACCCCAATGCATACACACCAAAAACCAAAAAGGAGACCCTCGTTTCCTTTTCCTTATCATTTTAATATTTAATAAGCAATGCGCAGAAGGGGAGTGCGAGAAGCCCCAATGAAATGGGGGCAACTCGTCTCAGCAGCGACTCTAAATATTCAGTTGAGTGTAAACTTGATAAGTTGTCTCTCTGGCAAACGTGGGGCATATGTTGGCTTCGCAGGGAGTCCTTTCGCCGAGGAATGGGTAATGCACATTATTCTATGCCGATAATATTTACATATTATGCCACTTTAAATGCTCGCGCTGGCTTTAAACTCTTTTCGTAAATGCCTTTTGACTGGGCGTATACGTAATGCCACACACACAGCCACACACAGACACCCTCTGAAAAAAGAGCACAGTTACACACATTGAACTTCCCTTTTTGGATACGTGACGAATAACAAATTTGTGGGATTTTGCAGCATTTTGATTGAATGTTGTCGTCGCTGCGGGAAACGCCGAGGAAATTGGTATGGAAAGGCGAACGAGATCCAAATACAAATATGATTTATGAGCCGCAGTCTGCAAGCCAATCGTATCGTGTATGTGGGGCGGACTAACTGCAGATGTTGCACAAACACAAACGCAAAGGGAAAAATCGGCTAAGAACTTACGCTCGACTTAGTCCACATCCGGCTCCACTGCTCCAAGCTCATGATTATGGAAAGGCGATCAAAATTACGGCGCACACCAAGGATCGGGTACGATGATATTTAGACAGTACTTGATGCCATGCTCCCAGCGGAAATTCGTTTACAAGAAAGCTGAGTAGGTATTAATATAAAATTTAACGAGATACTCGTATCTTACCCATGATTATGCAAAGGTAACTAGAATGGCATTGTGCAAAACTTCCAGGCACCTATACTAGTACAGTGTTCTATTTTTCTTGGTCGAAGCCCGAAAGGCAATCAACCCACGTAGACATGAAAATTGCCTGGGAAACCCGAACTCACAACTTTCAAATCCCAGAAAGGGAGACAATCTTATGACAGCGAGTATAAACTAAGGAAAGCGGGGGAAAAGCTGCTGGCTGGGGCAATTGTTTGCATTGTGCAAGTGTCAACAGCATTTGCAATTCCGTTGCAATTTTTAGCATCTTTTCGAGCTTTGCCTGCAAAGTAACCAAAAAATGCGGAGTAAAAATTGCACTTTGCCCCGTTTTGCAGCGCCGCCGAAAAATAGAAATTTCGTTTGCTGTGAAAATATGGTAATTTGCAGCAATCGAAGGTGGAAAACAATTTTCATATCATTCTCGATTCGCTGAGTCTCACTGGATTTGAAGCCAATACTGACTTTTACAATTGCATATTGCAATGCATATAGACTTTATGAATATAATACGTGTATGCATGTGAGCAAATACAATTGAAAATGCATATATGCACAAATAGGAATCCAATTTTCGTGTCAACATTTTTTTTGCCAAAGCTGACAGCATTTAATGGCCTTTGTGCCATTTCAGCAGCATCAGCTGAAAATAACTAGCTTTTGTTTTCAGCTAATTAATGCAATCCCTTTGAAATAATTGCCAAGAACCAGATCCCACTGGCACCCCGTCCATTTGTCCAGATCACATTGCAAAAGACAGACAGCTTTGTGCATAAAAAATGAGCCACCATCCATCTCGCACTCGTCCAAAAACATTTGCAGGATTAAGCGGAGAAGCGGCGAAAAAAGGCTACTAATTAGAGGCAAGAATCGCGATTCTGTGCCAACACAAAGAGGAAATTACTCTAGGAAAAATGGCAGCCGCAGAAAAAGAAGCTGATGGTCCAAGTGATTATACCCCCGGCAAGGGCGTATTCCATCTGATTAAGCCAAGTGCGCATTTGTCACACGAATGTGACAGCATCGAGGACGATGGGACCGAAAGGATGAAAAGGACGAAAAGGACGAACTGGACGAACAGGATGATGCGGGTGATGTGACGGTAGCGCTGACAAGTTGCCATGGTCAAGTTGATGGAACACGATCTCTCCTCGCAAAACGCTGACCACAATTGGCGGCCCTAATTGCTCGCTGCCATGGGAAACATGGGAAACATTGGAAAACACAGATGCTAACCCATCCGAATTGAGGAAACTTCATTCCTGACTTGGGCGCTAATTAAATAAGGTGAGGCAAACTTGAGTGCTGAATGCATTGGCTATACATTTCCTGACCAGTTATGAATCCTGTCAACTGTTACAGTGTCCTTTTTAAAAAATATATATATTTCTTAGCGCACAATATAGTTAAGCTTTTCCAAAATGTGATAGTTACTTTAGAACTAGCCATATATCGCTTAATATCGTTAAATATCGTTTGTTTACCATGCACTTGATGCATTTTATAAGCCCAATTAAAACGCAATGCACACAGCTAGCCATATTGCCGTATTCGGCTAATTCGATACCAGATAAGCAAAATAATCGGAGAACTTTCTGTTTTACATTTCCAAATTGGCCGAAATCAAAACAAGTCAAGCGACAACACGCGAGTTTCAAAATTGAGGTTAAACAAAGTTGAAAATCGCATTTAATGCATAAGTAAATACCGCTTGCCAATAATACTCCATTTGCATTGGGCTAGATGTCTGGGCCATCGATATACCACCAATATCGATGCCACCCCTTTTGTGCAATTATTTTAGCCCGGTTTCAGACTCGTTGCCGCATTTTCCATGCAAATTAATGCAGCTGCATGCGATGCTGCTCCTCTGCCAGAAAAGCAGAAAAACATAAAAGCAGAAAAGCAACGCAATCGGCGCTTTCACTGGGTTATTCTTTTATTTTTATGTGCGTATTATTATTGCACGTTAAGCTTTTATCAATTATAATTTTTTTTACCCCCGTTGCTGTGCGCTGCATTTTATTGTTGCAATTATCGCCCCACGACCTTTGTTGCCGCATATGTATAATTGAGCAATTTAATTCGGAATTTAGCGCTTTTTGAAATGGGTATAATGTGGCTTAATTTTGTTTTCTCGCTCGCCTTTCGTTGCGTGGCCGCCCAAATATTTAATTATAGACTAGCTTTTGGTATTTTTGTAATTCTATTACTACAACATTTTGCTTGCAGCCCCGTTTGCGTAACTTTTGCAACTCCGTTAACCCTTGTGGCTTTGGGCCATCCACGGAGCCACCTTCTCTTTGCGGATGCAGCGGATCATACCCTGCATCTTTGTAGCCGGCAAACGTGGTGCACGAACTGCAATTTATAACTGCACATACGTGAGCAGTAAGCCAGTGGCACCACCCCACTTCGCTCCTTTGAGCTGATTCATCGTGCAACATATCTGGCTACTTGTTACCTGAGGGAGGTACTGTAAAATCGTAATAGCGATCAAATCCGTAAATAAAAATCAAGTGTTATGAAATTTATTTTAACACGAAGTCTTTGATTAGCCGCATTGCCGCATTTTTTGTACTAACCACGTAAAAGACAAGACTCTTGTACCGCAATAGTTTGCTTGCCATCTCCGTTGCACGAGTATACCCTGTGGCATGAAAACATTTTGTTACTCGTGCAGCTGCCATCGCCATTGTGCAAGGTGCCCACATCCACATTCACATCCACTTTCACATCGACATCCATATCCCCATCCCCATCCACATCCACATCCATATCCACATCCAGTGTTCTGCCCGATCGCCCCTCGCAGTTTTATCCAACCCTTTGGGCCCAGGCCAACACTGATGGCGGATGGCGCTACAGTTTTTGTGAGTCGACAGAGCGCAAATAAACAAAAGGGTCGCGGCGCTTCGTGCGAAAAGCGAAAAATAAAAGGGGAAAACTAAATGAAAATGAAAAACAACTTGGTGCAAAGAAAGGGAACTGAAATGCCTGGCTTGTGTGCGGCTCCACATTCAGTTGCAGTTGCAGCTTCAGCTAAAGCTACTGCTTCAGAGGCAGTTATTGTTGCACGCTGAGAAAAAACTGGTCGTGTTTCGCTTGTCGCCTTTGATTGAACAGCATGGGATGGTATTAAAGTGAACGTATTTTAATCCATTTAGTTCGTTCGCATAAGGATTGCCCACCTATTTTCGCAGTGTATCTGCTGTTGTAGCTTTTGTTGCACTGGAGTCCTGCAACAAATTTGCTGGCGCAGCAGGCGAAAATATGTGCCAGCACAGCAGCCACGAAGGAGTACAAAGCGATGCGAAGGCGACGTGGGGCGCAGTCGGAAGAGAAGAGATTGTGGAAGGATATTTCACTTTATTGGCAAAGTCGAAGATGGAATGCGCTTGTAGTTGCAAATGGGGATGCAGGATGCAGGATGCAGCAGGAGGCAAGGTGACAGCGACAAGTTATTGCCAAGGCGGTATGCAACTTGGGCCGGTATCGTGGTTTATCGCCAACGAAACACAGAACTTATCCTGGCCAAAAGCATCCTTGTCATATACATATGCACCGAAAGTTAAGGCAGCAAGTATGCTCCGGCAGCCACACATATGCGATAGTATCACAATTAATTATGCGTCCTGGCCACAATTGATATTCTGCCAAAATAGGATTGGTAAAATCGATATTCTGCCAAAATAGGATTGGTAAAATCGATATGCTATGATCTATGAACATGGGCTGAGCTGAATTATTTGCCACACACCGATTAAAATATATGATGAATAGGAAGCAGGCAAGCTTGTTAGTTAGATAACGCTTTAGAGGCATAAACTGAAATGATCACTGCTTTTTTGGCCAGAACTATAAGCGTGGCATTTGGCACTGCAAAAGCGCCAGCCATACACATACATCAGCTTCCCGTGCTCCTGGGCACTTTCAATCTTTCGGCCGTCCTTCGCTGCCTCCTTTGAGTGACTGACAGACACTCAGTGCAACCTGTAGGCCCCTTGTGCTCCTTGGGCTCCTTGTGCTTGGATTTAATTAAGCGTCCCATTTGCCCAGAAATTGCATCTCCAGCAGGTACACACAATTCTCTGGGGAAATATTTGCATTCCATGTATCCAACCCATCCACTCGCAGTCTAAACGCTCGCGCTCCTCGAGAGGAAAGCCTGGATTTCGGTGTTGTGGTCGGTCGAGTCTAAGGTGGCTTTTCAAATGTCATAAGCAGAAATCGCTTATTGGACCCTCGAAAATTGCCGAGCTTAATTGGATGCAAAATTAACAGTTAAGGCATTTAGCGTGGCCAGGAAAATGACAGCTCAAGTGTGTGGCTTAGGAGTCATCTCCATTGCCTGGCCTGGTTAACCGATAGCAAAAAACCGCAAACAGACGGGTAACAGGACGAATATTCAGACGGTTGATTCTCGCCTTGGTAAAATTGCTGAATATTTGATTTCACGTGCTTTTAAGCCTTCCTTTAATGGCCACATTTTCTTGCTCTGTTAAGGAAGTTCTTGGCTTTATCCTTACATATATGCAAACTGAAAAATAATTTCTAACGCAATTATCTAGCGTCGCGTGTGCTCTTGATATCCTTGAACAAACACACCGATTATGAGCTTTGGCTCACTATCGTTTCGTCCTTACGGCAGTGTCGGTTTCCTGCCCCCATCGCTGTCCCATTCTGAATGTCAAAACATGCGTGTCAAAACAATTGTCATGCATTCTGCTTGGGTTCTGGATGGAGGCTCCAGCTCTCTGCTCGATTTCGACCCCTTGCAATTATGAGCCACTGACATGTGTTAACAATCAGTTCGCCAAAAGGACCCTCTGGGCTGGTAACATCCTCCCTGCTCCGTTCCACATTTCCGCCAGATATTTTAGCCCATTTCCTGCAGCCTTTCAGCCTGAAATCAATATGGGGGGAGCATGTGAGAGAGGTTAGTTCTGCCATCAGCGCCTTGATTACTGCTGTCGTATTATTTTCACACTTGAAATGCTGCCCGACTTGGCTTGTACATCACGAATCGCCGGGTGAATCGATCTGGCATCGGTTCTTGGTCATTATCAATGCTGGCCATTATGTGACACTTGGCTGTCACTTTACATGCGACGAGTCCTTGCTGGTTCCCTCTCTCATATCCCGACATCCTTTCAGCTGTCAGCGTTTGGGTATTTCCTTTTGCCTTCCCAGCGGAGGAGGATGCTGCGCCAAGGATTTTGTAGTTTTCATACTTTGAAATGGCTTGCATTTGAATCGCATATATGCGAGTACCTCTCTCAAAACACTTACTCATACAACGAAAAGAAAATAAGTTCTTAAAGGATAATGCTATTGAAATGCAATGACCCAGCTACCTAAATGAATAATCCTTTGAAAGGTGGCCTTGCTCTAGAAATCACTTACATAATTTACAAAATCTATACACAACACACCACAAAATCCAGAATGCAGTTAGTCAAGTATTCCATATTTTTGTTCGTTTTATGCGGAATCCTGGTGAGTGAAATGACCATAGTTAGCCTGGTGTCATACTAAGCACTTGCAAACCGAAGATCCCGGTAGAAATAGCAGCCAGATCAGTGGACTTGATGCAGTCGATAGGATCAGTAGCCAGAACTGGGAACGTTGCTCCAAATATAAAACCTAAGCACATAAGGCGTGCCGCAGCACAGATCCCTGAAATGCCCATGGACCTGCACACGAAGCACACCCCATGTGACATGGACTCCAGGGGCAGGGAGAGCTTCATATTCGCCTTTCCCAACCATTGCATATGGGCGTTCAACAATCGGTACTTGAGCGAAGGACATTACCGCGTCTACAAGACCTATCAGCTGGAAGGATTTTTCTTTGGCCAGTACTACGAGCGCCTAAAGCGTTACGAATTCGAGCCACATACCTACGATTACAATATGTAATGCCATATGAACAAATTCTAATTACTACCAAGACATTTTCTTTAAAGTATATAATATTTATAGCGTGCCCTAAATGATTTCGATTTTAAGATACTCGTACTTCTTCTTGAAATGCACAAAATACGATGGCCGATAATGAGTTTTAGTTACAAGTAAGAAAGTAACTTTCAAGATTCATATCATCTATGAAATACCCCATTTACCAGACTCTTTTCTGGCCATTTTCACCGCCTTTTGACAGGCATCGCAAGCTGCGTTCTATGGGAGCGGAAATTTGATATTCCTCAAAAGCATTTTCACTGTTTGCTCTGCCAGGAGTAGGAAGTAATGTGCGTAGCAACTGCTGTTCAATTTCCCACGATGGGAGCCAATCTGATGACCTTTTGGTCGCCTCTTGCAAACATGGAACCCAACTCGCATGCTAAAACTTTGTCATTATGAGCACATTTATTTTATTGATTCCTGTTTTAATTGCGGCCCTATTTATTGCTGTAATGAAACATAATCAATCAATTTCATTCGCTTGGGCGAAAACAAATAAGGTGCAACGCCTTAAGTGAATTGGGTCTACGATTTTTATCTGCCAAATTCCAGGCTCGGATAGCATTTGTGTGTAATTTGTAATTTTGCGGATCATCAATCAGCTGTCGTCAGCTGTCGAGCTGCGATTTGGTTCTGTGGATAAGCAGAATTAGAGGAAAAGCTGGCTTCGGCTCTTGTTTCACTTTGATTTATCGATGACTTGGGAAAACAAAAAGTTCTCTTTTTAATTACAGACTCTGCTGGACCTCGCACCAAATTGAGTTTTTCATTGCCACTCTGTATAATTAACAAATCGAGTTAGCTTTCCTTCAATTTTTTAACCGTTTAACTAATTATAATTAGCATCAAGCAAACATTTACTTCGGCCATGTTTACAATTATTTTTACTCAAAAAAGTCGCACCCGCATAATTTCTAAATGTAGTCGAATTTAAAGGCAAGTTTTCCTACTTTTGTAATTTTTTTGGTAAATTGAATTTTTAATTCATCAGAGATGAATTTTGATTCCCCTCCTTGGGCTGAGGCTTTTAAATTATTAATTAAAAGTCAAGAGGCGGACCGCAAAACAAAAAAAAAAACAAAAATTCGAGATGTTGAAAATGGTCTGTGCAAAATATGAAAATTTATGGGCACGAGGAATTGTGCAAATATTTTGTATCATTAAAATTTAAAAGAATTTCTTTTCCCAAGCTCACGTCAAGAGTTTCTATGCCGATGAGCTTTTCTTCTCAGTTTCTGCTTTTTTGAGCAGAAGAACATTTCGCCTTGTCTTTCCTTCTGCCTTGGAGCTTTATTTATTTATTTCCGGAAACGTGCCCTTGAGATTAAAGTATTTTTCCAACCCCACCCCCACAGCAGAAGTATTCGGCCATCTGTACGTAACTATGTACACCGTGTCTATATGCAAACGCAGATACATATCTGTCCGTTGTTCATTTGTTCATTAGGTTCCTTTGCGCGGTCCTTCTTGGCTCAGAGTTCCTTTGGCGCAATTCTCGCGCGTGTCTGGGTGTTTGGCCAAAGTTGTTCAAAGTTTCCACACCCACACCCTCACTCACACCCACACGCCCATCGTCCACCGTCCGGTCACGCCCCTTAAAAATGTCCTAGGCGTCGGTGGCTTGCTTTGCTTCACTCAATGCACTCAGAAAAACTGTACCAAAGTTGTCAGCCTAAGAAATAAAACATATTTATGTTGTAGGTAGACAACGAACAAATATGATTTAAAATAAAAAAAAAAAAAAACTTGTGAAAGTCCTTAAAATTGAGATAAGTTTATTTTTATATAATCTTATGTAAATGCTTTGCCTTTTTCTAAGTATACCAAGTGGAATACTTTCGATCTTTGTTTTTAGTGCATCCTTGTGACCATTTGCGCGCCTCTAATGAAAACACAATAAAAATTTTGCGCTTTTCTGCCTTCCCAAGTGGCTGTGAAATTTTTGATGAGTTTGTCAGCTTGTGGGAATTGTGCCAATCGCCGGCGCTTCTGCTGTCGCCGAACGAATACTTATTAGGCGAACTGTGCGCTCGGAATTTGGTTCGATCTAATTAAGCTGCTGCTCCTTGGGAGTGAAGGTCAAAGTCCGTCTACTGCTGAGGATTGTCTATTGCCAGATAATTATTCGATGACTGCACGACACACTTAAGTGGATGACTGTTTTTGCAGTAATTCAATTAGTCTGCAGTGCATTCCTGGCCTTTCTATGCCACAAAGTCAATGAACAACTTCATCTTAGTCTAAAGTTTCCTCCGAACGACAAAGTTCTCAACTTTCTTTTCTCTTGATGGCCAATTAGTTGGCTGAAATTGCAAAAGTCGTTTAAAGTGTTTATGGCCTATATGAATTTCAAACGCTATCCGACTTTGAAATCAATCACTAGGACTTTTCGTTTATAAATGTAGCCCAGTCTGATATCCAGTTCCCCAGCTAACGTCGCTACTTGCGATACCTTATTTTTCCTCCGCTTTTGAAACTGACACGCTGCTCTGAGGCGCAAATCTCATTTCCCTTGTGGCGGCAGAAGCCACTGAAAAAATGCTCCCCTTTCCTCGTCCGTCTTTTTTTTTTTTTTTTTGGGGTAACCCAATTTGATGGCCAGTGCTGCGCTGCTTTGGCTCTCTGCTTACGTCACAGCTTCGCACCTCGCACAACTGGCTTTCTGTGTCACACACACTGGCAAAGGGGCTCACACACACAGAGAAACAGCCGGGGTCAAAATATTAGTGGTAGTGCAAATGGTTTTACAAAATTAACATCTTACGCCAATTCACAATGAGTTTTACCTAATGCCAGACATTGAGCGAAGTAATGACGTAGTTACGGAAAATAGTTAAAGGTTTTCATACGCAAAAGCCATATTGACAACTGTGTAAGTGTACGATAAATGTGCAAATTCCTTAAGCAAATGTATTTTGAGGAACCCATGTCGTATTTGGCTATTACTTTGACCCCAGTCGTATTGGCGCACACACATTACCGCTCAACATTATGGCCAAAAAGTGTACGAAACAACACATCGAAATGGGAGGCATAAAAAATGGTAACAAAATTACATACATCAAAGGTGTTTTTTTTTTGTTTTCTGTCTCTTTGAATATACGAGTGTGTGTGTGTGGGCGGTAGAGTGGGCGGGGCTGTGGCACGAGGGGAGCAGGTTGTTTAAGGGTTGCTGCGGGCCATGATGCTGGTGGCCCATTTGTGTTGTTGCTGCTGTGCTGACCAATGGTCCGTGTAATTTTTTGGCAAGCATCTCCCTGCATATCAGCGCACTTGTGAACCTTTTTTGGAGATGGGTCATGGAACATGCGTCCCTGGCCCTGCAATTGCTTTTCCATGTTACCTTTCGCTCCACAGACCCCCTGCTCGCATCTCATTCACATTTATGATGAGTGTGCCCCCGACTTTTTTCAGCCCAGATAAACTTGGCAAACATGCGGCCTCAGTTTAAAGCCAGGGCACGCGCCGATTGACATCATTAGGCCCAGACCAACCCGAACAGCGGCTAGTGGCGGCACTAAATCATGATTCTGGCCATCCAAAAAAATATGACAAAAAGTGAGTGCACAGCCAAATGAATGGCACACATGGGAAACGCTGTACTATGAACGCTGTGCGAGGGCCGGGCGAGAAAATGTAAAGAGTTTTGATTTATGCAAACAGTTTACTATTCACTGGGATAACAAAAAACGGCTTGCGCTGAAAATTACCTAGCTTAAAAGGCGAAATCCGGAGATGGCATCTCCGAAATGTAAATGAGCGTTATCCTCAATTTATTTCCGCTTGCATTGTATGGCAGCAGTGCAGAATGATAAATTTGTTATATAGCAGCGTACTTTTAGTTTAAGTTTACTCTGCTGCACAAATCGGGCTTAAATTCGTCGTTGCCAATGAACGAAATCCAATTAATAAAAGCCATAAGACAAATTTAAAAGGAAACCGGGCATATTGAACCTTAAGCAAACGGAACTCAATCAAGTTGTAAAGTGAGTAACCATATTTACGAGTATGCGCATCCAGATGCTCTCAGGATTTTCGGGAATGGATCTATAAACAAGCCCATACAGCGAGGCTGTAAAGTTGATAAAACCAAACCCCAAAATACGCTCCCCAGCCAGCTGCTCCCCACAAAAAATCGGTGTGCGTGTGTGTGTGTGGTTCTTTCTTCTCGCCTTGTTTGCACTTGGTTATTGATAGTGCTTCAATCTGAGGAAATAATAAATAAATGAGCCTAACGTCACGGCTCATGTCGTTGGCCCACCTACATCCCCACCTTGCCCCCGTGCCTCTCCGCAAACACGCAAACACATGCACACTTAAGCATACACGCACTCACTTGCACACATACACGTACCAGCACAGCACACACATACCACACACACACAAACACACTCCCCCAAAACAGACTCATTCACTCACGACATTTCCTCTTCTGCTGCTGCTGCTGCTGCTCCTGTTTTCCATTTTCATTCTCTAGGCTCGTTCCCCCGTCAGTTTCTCAATTTTCCTCGGAGCTGCCAACATTTTTCACATCTCTGCTGTGCTTGCACGGTGAAAAATTACAGGCTTCGTGTAATTCTCCTCCATACCGACACAACAAAAACAGCTTAAAGATTTTATTTATCTAAAAAAATTCAAATTTTCACTGCAATACATGTATGTGAAAAGTATGCAATTCAAAAATAGTAATTAATGCATGCCACTTTTCGCGGTGTGTATATTTGCTTGCTCGCTCGGCTACGTACGTGTATGTGGCGTATACGCAACGTGTGCCATATTTTTACATGCCCGCCGGGCAACAACAACTGCGACAACAGGCCGCCTGCAACTGACAGGTCGCACTGCCTATGACGACTGCCACAGGCCAGCATTTTCTTCTCAGTTTTTTAGCGCGCCTCGCAGCAGTGTGTCCACCGGCACACACATTCCCTCGCATCGTTCGCTCCGCACAAAGAGCAAATTGTTTTTATAGAACACATCCTTCGCTCCTTCACTTCCACTGCCACCCCCTGACATCTCAATTTGTTGGCATTGTTGTGCAGTTTGCTTGCGAGCTTACAAGTT